GAATGTTGATGCATGCTATTTTTTATATGCCACAGCCATACCACGTTTTTATTCACATAATTGACTAGGTTTAATCATTTAAAACGAAAAAAAAATAAAACTCATATTTGTTTTTGAATTGAAGTAGAAATAAAAGATCAAGATGAAGAATTGAGTATCGCATTATTTCACTTCTCATATTCGTCAATGTTTCGCTGAATTGTTGTTAACTGATTGTTGATCAATATTAATCGAAATTGATTGTCAAATAAAATCCCTCAGACTAATTTATATTGAATTCTATAGGAAATGTTACTATTATTACAATGTCAATCAATTTATTTTACTAAGAAAGGAAATTCAATCTTAGCATAGAAGATAGATTTTCCTTGATAAAGGTTTGTACTATTCAGAAATGAATTTGTTTTTTGAAAACTCAAGATCGTGAATCAATGATAAAAAACGATTTGGTATAAGAGTTTATCTTTTCAATTGAACAATATGTCGACAAATGATTTTTTTATCTTCGGCTATATATCTTAATGATAAATATTAAACATAGAAATTTCGTGAGCGCTCTATCGCAAGAAGTTAGACACAAAAAGTTACGATGACGATGATGATGATGATGATAAACCTTGATGCTGCACTTCTTATCTCTCACCTACATTAACGAGTATCAAACATTTCTTTTTATTCATTTTTTAGTTAGTCAAGAGACGCTTTATCACCATGCATCTTCTCTATCTACTCATCGCTGTTGTCAGCATCACCCAAGCAATCGAACATTATGCTCAATCAGCTGTTTGGAATCTATTCAAGCGTGTTCACAACAAACGATATCCCACTGCCGAAGAAGAGACTTATCGGTGAGAGAGAAAGTGTGTGAGGATTATCATTTTTCACATAATAAAGATTGATGATTTATCTAGTCGAATTGTCTTCGAAGGCAATGTTGCTAGAATTAATCGACATAACCTTGAAGCTGTCTTTGGTCTACACTCTTACACACTTAAAGTCAACCAATTTGCCGATATGATATGTTAATCATGTTTCTTTTTCTAGTTGTGTTTGAGTAGGATATGGAGTTACTGTTATCGAGAATACCAGTCAAATAGAGAAGAAAAATTAGGAACTGATAGGTATACAAAACTTTCTAATGCTACATTAATGAAAAGCTATCCGCCTTGGTTAGGATCCTATAGAATCTCCCTAAGAAGGAAAAACAACTATTGAAGCATTCATTTGCAATTAGAAGGATTCAAGAGCTTGGACATTGATAGAGACTATAGGTTTTTCGTTGTGACAAAATAATTAAATCTATTGATTTACACATTGGTGTGTTTATCTTAACATACTAATCATGTGTGAGGTAAGATAGAATAAACACCAAACGGAGAATCACTGTGTTGATGCGATTAACTAGACTAAAACATCTCATTTTGCATTATTTCTACTTTAGACACATGAAGAGTTTGTACGAACAATGCTTGGTGGATTCAAAAGGAGTCAAACAACGGTGGCATCAAGCAATTTTGATCGACATACTTTTCTTCCACCATCTAATGTACACATCCCATCAGCGATTGGTAAGTTCATTTGTTCTATACTTTCCTCTCACGATACTCTTCAGCATTGATACATTAGTCATTGAACAAGGAAATTTCTACTCTAAAACATTTTCTCTTTGTCTCATGATTTAAATCATATCCTACAGATGCTTAGACGTTCGTAGCTCCTACGTACTACAATGTCTGAAGAACAAGATATATATAAGAGCAGTAAGACTTTCAAGTCCAAGATACGATTAAAATAATGTATAAAACAATGACTGTTTGACAGCGCAAAACCAACCCGTAAAGTGAGATAATGGATGACAGCAAAATAAGATGAAATATAAGGCATTAAATATGCCGTTTTTTGTGTAGTTTAGTATCGCTTAAGGTGCTGTTACAAGTGTTTGGAATGTTTGATTTAGCCTCGACAATGATAGTAGCCTCCTGTACATGACTGATCTATAATGATTTTGACTTCACTGAAGTCTGTTTTTCTCTTCATTGTGATTAGACTGGCGTCAAAAAGGTGCTGTGACGACAGTGATTGAAAACCAAGGACAATGTGGTTCGTGTTGGGCTTTCACAGCGACAGGTGCTTTAGAAGGACAACATTTCATCAAAACTGGTCAACTTGTGAGACTATCAGCTCAGAATCTCATGGATTGTTCTGGCGATTACGGTAATGCGGGTTGCTGTGGAGGATCGATGGACGCCTCATTCCAATACATCAAAGATAACAATGGTTTGGACACTGAAGCAAGTTATCCATACGAGGCTGTCGAAAGCCAATGTCGTTTTAATCGATCAACAGTTGGTGCTACGGATACGGTCAGTGCTTTTTTTTTCTGTCTTCTTGTTTTCTTTTGTAAAGCATTCTATTGTGTAACAGGGTTTTGTTGATCTTCCGAGTGGAAATGAAACGACTTTACAAATCGTTATAGCCACTGTGGGTCCAATATCAGTTGCAATCGATGCTCAACATGACTCGTTCCAATTCTATTCATCAGGTGTTTATGATGAACCTAAATGTTCATCGACCGCCATCAGCCACTCGTTCGTTCTCGTTGGCTATGATACTTTGAAGAATGACACAACAAAACAAGAGTACTACATTGCGAAGAACTCCTGGGGCGACTCATGGGGAAATAAGGGATATGTTTGGATGAGTCGTAACAAGAACAATCAATGTGGTATTGCAACAATGGCAAGCTACCCACTTGTTTGAAACTGCTTTTGTTTCAATCTTGTTTTGCCTGTTTAACTGTAATAAAGAGTAATGATAATAAAACAACAATTGTTATTTTTATGCGAGAAAAGGTGATACAACTAGACTACAAGACTGATTATGTTTATATTACTTTTTGAATAGTAGTTTTCGTTTTCTTACTTTGATAACTGATTGTAAGCGACCATGTGGCACCAAAATGTACATCTGTGTTTCTAAGAATTCCTCAGTGAAGTGAGATCACAGAAGAAGAAAAGTAAGTTTTTTAGCAATGTAGAGTTTATACTTGTACATTCTCGCTCTTTTCTTTCCTTTGGCTGGTGTTATAGTGTGATACCATCACACCTTTATGATGCGCGATCTGAAGCAGGAAACAAAGACGAACTACGAATACAGGAAACGTAATATTGGCTAATGCGTAGCACCTGATTTTGAGATGTATCACGGATTCAGATACCTTTAATAAAAATTACATTATACAGACTGTAATGAGGGCTACTTTTCCATTAAATAAGAATGAATTTTTTACTAAAAATAATCCCGCTGTGGGCTGTTTAAAATAAATTTTTTTTCTCTTTGTTAGGTATAGAATATGTTTGCTGTTGTTGTCGTATAAACATTTTGTAAACGATTTCAAAAATAATAATATTTGTTATCTTGTTATATCATTTGTTAAAACATATACATATACATAGATTGAAATTAACAACGTAAAACTTTGTTTTTTGTTTCTCTTTTTGTGCATAGTTATATACACTACCCCTAGATTACTTATCTTTTATGTTATATTGTAACAAGATGTTATTGGTCGTATATCAATAACACGTATCATGGTCTATGAGGATGTGGGGTGGGGATGTGCGTGTGAGTGTAGATTGAGTGACGAGAAGAACCACTCTCACACCCTTCTATTTGTTTCTCAGAAAAACTCTCAAAAATCGTTCAAACCGTCTGTAGAATTCGGCAACAAAAGCTTCACTAGCGATAAAAACTTTCGTTCTCTACCTGAAAAATACACCCTACAAGATGGAATATATATATGACGCAAATCTAAGACTATAACAGGGCAACCTCCTGCAGTTGTAGGCCATGGCTTACGCACACTGGCTCATAAAACAAAACAACAATATCGAATTTATAACAAGTTCAGAAATGGTGGATATATTTTTCACATCTACATATTGATTTCGTAGAAGAATGGTGTTCTTGCATCAGACCATGTTCTTGAATATGCTATATGTGAATCATCTCAAACTCCTGGTTTTAGATGTAATTCCACATACTGCATCTAAATACATCAATATTTTAAGCTTCCTAAAACACGCGAAATAGTTTAACAAGCTAATTTTTAATATAAAAGTTTTGTTCACAGGACAAGTACTCAAGCTCTCTAGTAGTTTTTCTGAAATTTTTATTCCAGAAAAACAAATGTTTAATATTTAAAGTTTTTGTAAAGTTCGGTGAGTTCTATTAAACCATATAAACATATGAAAGAAGAAAAAACTATTATTTTGAATTGCTTGAAGCTTACACACTTGTATTATTGTAATAGTACATTGTCATATAGAAAGAATAAACAAAATTTCACAGGATGCTATTACAAAACGTGAAAAAGAATGCGTAAAGAATATTTTATCGAGCAACAAATACGGAGTTGACAACGGTTCGGGTTGCCGGAACATTGTGATTATATTGGCGTCTCTTCAAGCAAAGGGAAATAATGTAGCACGCTACAC